CAGTCTAAATTCTGCTTCTTGCTGCTTCCAGTAACATTTGTTTAAAGCTGTTGCCAAGAAAACTTAAGAGTATGTCTGCTGAGCAGCGAGTACACACTGTGCAAGGAGATGCTGGACTTTCACACTGATCTCCTCCAGATTATTATGCGTGTTCTCCATAAGTCGGTTGCTTAGTTGTTGACGTTAATGCAAGAACTTGTAGAAAGCAGCAGACACTGAGCAGGTGCACGTGGAAGCATGCGACTGTATAAACATTCAGTGTAACACAGTAAAGAAAACCTGCAGCCGTGTATAAATCACACTCTACCCCAAACAGAACAGAGAGCAGCGTGAGTGCAGGCGGCTGCACACAGGCAGATACTAACCAGTAATCTGGCAATGCAGTGCTGTTCTCCCACATAGCAGTAGTCTCCAGACACGTTTGTTTCAAACCAGATATGATCTCCATACACAGCTACCTCCTACAGAGACAAATACGGAGAGAGACAAAGACTAAGAAAAGGACAGAAGCTGAAAGAAGAGCTGCGGTACCCACAGACCGTCAATGAAGGATCTGAAATATCAGCTCACTGATGAAATGTGCACGGTGTTTGACAGAAGACATTTCAAATCACTGTGAAAAATCCTGTGAGTGAACCCACGATCAGCTAGCAGGAAAAAAAACCCATACCCACATGTTAATATTTCATACAGTATGATTCAGTCTAACATGCTTCTCATTGGCAGACACAAGACGGACTGAAGACCCGCTGTGATGCTTTCCTGACTCCTAAGCCTATGAAAGCCGTAGCTTTCCCTCCCCTGATAATCCAGCAGTCTGACATGGCATAAAGAGCCGACCCTGTACGTCTCCGTCACACTCACAGTCCAGTCCACGGTGCTGGAGATGTTTGCTTCTGGGTCGGTCCTGGTCAGAGAGGATGTGCTGGGCTGACAGGGAAGATGGTGCAGACCGGACTTGGCTATGGCTTTTCTGGAAACACAAAGACCAGGAAAACTGTCAGCGTCCGAGAAAAGTGGTCAATGTAACAAAAGGTGACAGGAACATATGTGGAGGTCTATGCGCACACACACACACACACACACACGCACACACACGCTGAGGCATTTACACTATTGTCAGTGGAAAATTGTACTTAGTAGTCAGTATAAGCTTTTAATAATATAAGTTTGCATGTGGTAGAATACTGCATGTTGACCTTTTGATGACTTAGGTCAGGGGTCTGCAACCTTTAACACCCAAAGAGCCATTTGGACCCAGTTTCCACACAAAAGAAAACTCTGGGAGCCTCAAATACTTTTTGACATCTAAAATGAAGATAACGCTGTATTATTGTTTTTACCTTTATGCTTTGTGTGAACAACTAAGGAGTGTTGCTGATGAAATCCATGAAGTGCTACAGAGAAAATTACATGTTATTTATGTAATGAACACATTTGAACTCTTAAAGAAATATAACCAAAGGAAAGACACCCAGCTGAACTAAAATGATCCAGCAAACAAAAACTG